CCTTAGTCATTTTTCCCTCAGGCTCTCTGACTAGGCAAAGAGGACAGGAGAAATTTCACCAGAAACTAAGAGGAAAACCACGTGTGAAGTCGAGGTTGGTTAGTACAGCTAGCACTTTCTCAAAACAGCCTAGATTGCATTTTCAGAGCTAAGAGTGAAGTTTACCAGGTAAAACAAAGACTTATTGAGTCAGCCGCTTAATCGTGAGAGCTGAAAACAAATACACGCTAAACAAACATAGGCCAAGATATATTACTTTTCTTCAGCAAGACCAAGATAGGTGCCTGGAGGAGAAAATAACCCCCAAATCCAACTATTTGAAATGAGACAACCTCTGGTGTAGCATCTCTACAATAGTGCAGTTCCCAACTTTATTAGTGCTGCTTTGAAGATTTTTGCTATCAGTGATCAGATCTAAAGAAATACTGTAGGATTAGACACTGTCCATTAGTCAGCAACATTTGGGACATTTTGCAAGGAAAGAGAGCTGCCCATGTGGGCTTTGTGTATGGATGGGCATATGCCCAGATAGCCAGGCGACCTCTCAGGAACAACATTTTGGGGCTAGTTCTGCTTTATTTATAGGTACAGATATCAGCAGTTCATCCCTTTGAGCAAACTAACCTTTCTCCTCTCTAATTTAATCTTTTAGAAGAAATTCCAAAACTCTCTTAGAGGCCTCCTCTCCAAGTAGCCAAATTCCGCCATTCAATCCTTCACTGCATCCCTGTGGGGAGTGGGGAAGGGAGGTGTGATGCTGCTTGAAAGGTGCCCTGGCATCTGGGGGTGCCACTTGCCTTTCTAAACCCAGGCACAGGCCACTGTCTACACCAGCAATGCTGGTCCTTGCCCTAATCATGGAAAGTGAAAGGTAGCACTGTCGGAGGCTGACTGACACTTAACCGATTTGATGAGGACTCAGTTGTATGACCCTCCCAAGTCATAAGTATCTCAGGCCAAGACCACCAACAACCATTTGAAAAAGGTAAGAGATAATAAAAGAATGTTCTGAATGCACTGAAAGTCCAGGTCAATTTCTGGCAGATAATAAGTTGCAGAAGCCTGTTCTTTGTCTTCCCATGTTCACTGCATTTTAATCATCCTCAGCTGTTCTCTTACACGGCAGAACATATAAATTTTTCCAAAAAAAAGGCAACAAGATAAGCAAACTGTCAGGTGAGAAGAACAAGCAGCTCGTATCTTTGCAGTTGCTTTTACCACACCCAGCCTCTCCAAGAACGCACTTCCTGGCTATGTTTTCATTTTCTGATAAAAATATAAAGTGAGCCAGGTATGTGGGAAATGTACTTTCGCCATCCCCAGAAGCAGAACACATTTCTTATACATCGTGGATTGCCACCTTCCACAACTCCCACCAGACGAGTAGCCCACAAAAATCAAAAAGCAACCCTTTCCTGAGGTTTGGCTTACTTAGACAAACAAATCAGAAACACCCTGGGAACAAAGCTGCATGTGTCTTAATACACCTACTCAGACTCAAGCCAGGGTTTCTTCTGCCTCTACTCCAAACAAAAGCATAAATGGTGCACCTGCACCAATAAAAGCTCTTCAGCACTTTCCCAGCACCAGAAGATTTCAAATAAACACTATTAGTTCGCTAAATATTTAGTGTCACTTGCCCTTCAGTAAAAAGGGTTTGTTTCCAGTAACTAGTTACATCACATCAGATACGCCAGGACTTCCCCGAGAGAAAAATGAGTCCGTTAGAGTAGGGATGCTTTTCTGTGAAATTGCCCACTGAGCTCTTGAGACAGTGAAATTAGGCTCAAGGCAGATGAAATTAGCTTCAAACATTTCAGTCTCCCCTTAGCTATGCCAGGAGTGCTGCTTCCAGAAGGTTACAAGTCCTGTTGAG